TTTTTTAAGTTTTTTCATACTACACATTGACACTGGTTTAAAAACAGAAAACTCACAACTAAATATCACAGTAGATTTCTTTGGATTTGGCTGTTTAAGTATATTCGTAACTATTTTGTGAATACTTTCTATAAAATAGGTGTTAAAAGCTTCAGCAATATTTGTATCATTTTCTAGGGCTATAGAGTCAAATATTATTTCATTTGGGAGTATTTGATTTTTGCCAGGTAAAAATGTTTTTAAGTTTTTCCAAAGTTCTCGGAAATTGTTTTTATTGTTGTCAATTATATATTATTAAAATGCGTTTTATTAATTCATTTATTAAATCATATTTTTTATATTTTTGTAATCATTCCAAATTTCAATATTATTTTCCTGTATTGCTCTTTTATATAGATTATCTCTATTTTTTTCATCATATCCCGTATTTCAACAGTTATCCATTTTTTATCCATGAATTTTTGTTTTAAAGTGCTTTGTATCCTAGGGCATACTTTATTTAAATACTGTGTTATACTTTCAACAAACATATTCGCCAATAGATTTATATCCGAATTATCATTATCCCATGCAGTATTTCTTAAACATTCCTGAAATTCTAGCACCTTGTAGTTTTTCATGGATCTCTAGTGTAAGATAACGTTATTATTACCTGATAAACTATCTTCAATATTAGCTGATAAAATAGAGTGGTCACTTATTTTTGGTGTACACAGAGAAAAGTAATCTCTTGATTTAAGAAAATGCATTTATTTGAAACAGTTTTTCTTGTATGAAGTAAAATTGTCTTATTCGTAGTAACTTCTTGTTTACAATAAGAAAATACTATTATTTGGTTGTAAATCATGAGTTTCTTGAAAACAACTTATTGTTGTGATTAATTGTAAAGAAATATTTATTTAGAGCAAATAATTTAATTGTTTGGATATAGGTTGTATGGATTTAGTTTTATCAAATGTTAATACAAGCATATAATATCTTATTTTAACAAAATAATAGAATTGATACAATGTATGTCATATAATTAACGTAAACACGTGATTTGTTTGTTTCAAAAATACATTTACTTGAAGCAAATACATATTTATTTGCTTTTATGTCCACGTGACTCGCGGAGCCAATTAGAGCATTTGACTCCAAAGACAAAGACGCTTGTCCGGCTGCCGGCAGCATTTGCAAACAAACTCGCAGAGCGTCCTTGGCAAAGCGTTAAGACTCTTAACTTAAGAGAAGGAGGTGTTTAATCAACGGTTATAGTTTTGTGTTTAAGTGCTTATGATTAATATATATATAATATATAATATACTATAGTATGGAAGAATTCTTCAAAGAAAATAATTTAACCCATTTGCTTTTTAGTTTTGTTGGTAAGTAAAAGTGATTTAGTTAATTAAAATTTTGTGTACCTAGGTAGTTTGGAAACTACAAAGTTATATGATAATATGAGTACCTATTTTATTTTGGATCATGCATGTCTCAGACTTGACTTGTTACTTTTATATATAATTGGCAATTATTAATTGCACATTTTACTTACAGGCCATAAACTAAAAATAAACCGTTTCTTTTTGTATTTGACAAGTGCAAGTAATTTTGGTTGGCAAACTATATGTATTTGTTTTTAAACTATCTGATAATAATAAATGAAGTTTTTGAAAATGTTCAAATGTCCCATAAATATATTTCCTGAATTAATGCGAACACGTTTAAGGTTCTGCTGAAAAATTGCTTGTTTTGACTTATCCTCTTATGACTTTTACCCACAGACTTGGTGTATTTTATTAATGCCGTGCACTAATATTTACACTGAACTTCAGTGACTGAAGTATTTTTTGTTCCTATTTTTGTCCGCTCATATATTATATCTATGTTTTGTTTATTGTTAATTTTATATTGTGTGTTTTTAATGTTTATTGTAAATAGGTACGTATTTACAACAAAACAAGTGTACACTTGTTTTGTTCAAATAAAAAATATTGGAATAAACGTTTTTTAATTTAATTTTCCCGACCAAATATCAAGTAATTAACAACATTAAAATAAATAAATCATAGTATTAAAACAAGCAAACATTTGTTTGGTTCAATCACTATATATTTCGTGAAATTATAATATTAAAAGGTACTAATTATTTGTCTGAAATAAATTGTTTTCTTCATGTAAGTAAATATTTTGTTTCTTTAAGAAAGCTTCACATTTAATTTAAAAAAATGAATTACTTACTTCAAGTAAATGTTTTGTTTCTTTAAGTAAGATTCTACTAAACGTGAGATAAAAAGTCAACTAAATATTTACTTATATTAAACAAACCATCAGTTTAAAAAGTCAAAGAAACCCAAGTTTTCCACTAAATAAATATCTTCTTGTATCATATCGAAATAAATAATTTATTTAAGTCAAGACAGATATAGTAAAATCAAGAGATTACTTTTCTCTGTGTATGGTGATTATCGTTTGTTATAATATAATCAATGAGAGTGGAACTATTATTTGTTATTCGAGTTGCTGTTTTAACGATTTGATACAGACCCGATTGATAAATTTTGTTTAGAATTTTTTTCCCATAAAAAAAATTCTTGAGCAAATCAAAGTTAAAATCTCCAAAAATAATGCTTGTTCCCGGAAAATCACTAGTCTCATCTATGTAATCATTAAGTAGTTTACAAAATCAGCATTTCGTGTTTGCGATACAATACAATAAAACAGTACACAAATATTTAATTTTTGCGGAAGAAAATTCAACAGATAATAACCATAAATAGTTGTCAACGCACTGTATAGTGTTAACTTTGTATTTAATGTCAGTGCGCACCAAAACAATAAACCCCCAGTTCTTTTACTATAAAATAAAACAAAAATTATAAAAAAAAATCATAAAAAAGATTCCAAATAAAACTTGTTATAAAATAATAAATATGAACTACAAAATACAAATTATTATTTTATTTTTTTTGTTCAAGATTGTTTAATTTTTTTCCATACTTAAAATATGAACAAATGATATATAAAATATAATACATTTTGGGTTTTTTGTTCAAATTATAAGCTGGGAAAAAAAACTTGAAAATTAACAAATAAATTTTTTTAAAGAAAATCAAAAAAATCAAAAAAATCATAAAAAAGATTCATTTCAAATAAAAGTTGTTATAAAATAATAAATAAAATTTGAACAAAAAAAACTAAACGATTTACATATATTAAATAATAATAATAATAATAAATAAAATATCAACAAAAGAATAGAATACATATGAAGACATTTTTTCAAAAACGACACATGTCCAAAATCTGCATTTTTCAGGATAAACAAAAAACTTTAAAAAATGTCTGATATGCTACTAGATTTAGCTCGATTTGAGCATTTTGTGACGTGCGGTTTTTGAAAGAAAGTCTTCATATGTATAAAATGTTGTTTTTTGTTAATATTTTAAGCTTGAAAAAAAAACAAATTTGGAAAAACAAAAAAATGTTGAAAAGAAAATAAAAAAGAATCGTATAAAAAGTCTATTCCAAATAAGAGTTGTTATAAAATATTAAATAAAATTTTAACAAAAAAAACTAAACGATTTACATATATTAAATAATAATAATAATAATAATAATAATAAATAAAATATCAACAAAAGAATAAAATACATGTAAAGACATTTTTTCAAAAACGACATATGTCCAAAATCTGTATTTTTCAGGATAAACAAAAAACTTTAAAAAATGTCTGATATGCTACTAGATGGCGCATTTAGCTCGATTTGAGCATTTTGTGACGTGCGGTTTTTGAAAGAAAGTCTTCATATGTATAAAATGTTGTTTTTTGTTAATATTTTAAGCCTGAAAAAAAAACAAATTTGGAAAAACAAAAAAATGTTGAAAAGAAAATAAAAAAGAATCGTATAAAAAGTCTATTCCAAATAAAAGTTGTTATAAAATAATAGATTTCTTAAATGTGATCCAAAAAACAAAATGATATAAAAAATGATACATTTTGGGTTTTTTGTTTAAATTTTAAGGCACAAAAAATAAATAAAAATTCTTTTTAAAAGAAATCAAAAAAATCATATAAAAAGATCCATTCCAAATAAAAGTTGTTATAAAATAATAGGTATGAACAAAAGAACAAAACGATATATTTTAAATGATACATTTTGTTTTTTCTTAAAATATGAACAAAAAAACAAAATTGTTCATATTTTAAGACGAAAAAAAAATAATACAAACTTGACAAAAAAATAATTCAAAAGAAAATAAAAAAATAACTATTCCAAATAAAAGTTGTTATAAAATAACTGATTTCTTAAAATATGAACAAAAAAAACCAAAATGATAATAGTATATTAAAGAACTTATACCATAAGACGTCATTTTGTCGCACGCGGACAATTTATAAAACGAGCGACGAAGGAGCGAGTTTTGTAATGGACGAGTGCGATAAAAGGTCGTATGACATGAGTTCTTTATGCTATTATATCTATTTTGCAAAAATTCTATAAAAAAAAATTATACCTTAAATTTAATTTGGTCGAATTTTACTTTAGTCATTGGTTTAACAGTTAATGTCAAAATCGATTCGCCATGCCGTCCTTAATTTACTTATTTACAATAAGCGGCTGTTAATGTTAAAGAAGAAAAAAAGGATTTTCTTTGGTGTTAAACAAAATTTATTGCCAGAAAAGTCTCGTAAGTACTAAAAAAATCATAAAAATATTATAACCAATATGCAAAATATTAAGCTTTTTAAAGTATAGCCAACCTATAAAATCAAAATTTTGGGTGGGATAAAGTATCTCATTACAGCACCGAAAGCGGTGTTATAATGAAGTCATTATGAACGCAAAATAGATAAAATATTTTGTTTATATTTTAAGACAGGAAAAAAACAAAAAATATGTATTTTAAATAAAAATTGTTATAAAATAATAAGTTTTCTTAAAATATTAACAAAAAAACAAAATATGATACATTTTCATTTTTTCTTCACATTTCAAAAAATCTATTATTTGTAGAAAGACAGAGCCGACAACGTAATAAAGGGCACCAAGCAAGAACAAATCGAGCAAATCCTCCGCGACATCAACGACTTCAAGCAAAAAACCAAAGTCGACAAGGTCATCATCATGTGGACGGCCAACACCGAAAGATTCTGCGACGTGGTTCCAGGTAAGATTTCCTCGATCCTACAAATCCAGTACAACTACTCGCCGATAGATGTCGCCGCGCGCGTTCCTCTCGTCCACGTAACCGCAACAAAATCGTTTATAAACCCGATCGCGACTCGGTCAAATCAAGATCATACTTCACAGGATCATTTCTGTAGTATATCTTCGCATACTCTCTACTCAAACGTAGAGTTGTCGCAACCACGATGACGAGGTGTAGTTTCGTGTTCTGAGCGTGAGGCAGATTCAGTTCGAGTCCATTTTTATGGATTCGAACGAGTCATCGATGATCGTTCACCTGTGGACTTGTCCACAGGCCATGGATACGGAACATTCTGAGTGGTACTTTAATCTAATTAAAAATAATTATTAGGAAATTTTCGTAATAACTAGCAAGAGTTTATTAATCTATGATCCCTACAATAAAGTTCATATTAGAAAGGACAATATCTTTGTTGCGATGTTTTTCTTCCTATGCTATCACTTGAGGGTGACGTTAAAAAATCATTGTCCGTTGATTTCAACAGCTGCTTCGAAATTTTAAGTTTCTTGTTAATTGCGTCGAATTTATGCAAAAGCAGTTTAGGTAGGTTACCGTTAGTTTAATTTTGGGAATGTTTGGGCATGGAAAAACGATGACAAATTTTGTATGTTTATTTGGCTTTTGAAGAATTGACCAATGCCATGATATTTATTTATAAATATTGGAACAAATGCAGAGTATTTACAAATATTTTAATTATATTTGAAAAAATATTTAAAAAAAAAATTGTTTTAAAGCTTTTTTTCGTTTACATTAAAATCTATTATTATTAAAATAATTTATTAATTTTTTTTAGAGTACCTATATTTTGTAAATAAACGCTTTTTATAATTAAAATTAAAGGAAAACAGTTTACAAATACAGGCACAGAAAACAAATCAAAAATTTTGTATTTAGATTTTTAAATTATAATAAAAAAAAATAAAAACTTGTTAAAAAAACAAAAAATATATAATTAAAAAATATTTCGAATAATAAAAATTGGAAAAAAAATTGGATTTTTATGAAAAGTCCTAAAAAGTTTTTTAATTTGTTTTGTAAAATAAGGATTTTCTGGCGTTGTTCAAGGCCACGTCAAAGGAGGAAATCTGTCGTGTTCATGTAAACTCTCTAGAAAAAATACCTACCTTTATATGTGTTATAATATTATGAGACAAATAAAAGTACGATAAGGCTATAAAAATTATGTTTTATTAAACATTAAGAACTTATTGTAAAATTGTTAACTTTATACGTTATGAAGAACTTCTAAAACAAAAAAAGAAATTAATATTAAAACTCAATGCAAAAATCATAATCTTTTTCTCTATGACATATAGGTAGAACATTTATTTATAAATTATTTTGCTTGTAGTATGCCTTGTACGCATAAACACTATTTACCCAGAAAAAGGCGGTTCTTTTTCTCCACAGCAACTTCATGCAACGAGACGAAAATCTATAACAATGAACAAAAAATAAGTACATAATATAGAACTACCAATGTTAATTTTTATTACTTCAAAATGACGGAATAACAATCTTCGAAAAGTAAGAAATTGTTCAATAATTAAAAACCTTAAAAACATATCATTAATTACTTACTCAAAATTAAAACCTATTTAAAACTTAACAAGCGTTTGGTTAGTGGACGGATGATTATAATTTTTTTAAATAACTTTTACAGAATCACTTTTTGACGTATTTTTGTAGGAAATAGTTATTTGTTTTACAAGTGTTGAAAAGCGACTTTTTCATGCGAGTTTTTAAGTTGCCCACGAGGCCGTTAGGCCGAGTGTGCATTAACACGAGCTTGAAAAAAACTTTTCTCACAAGTATAACACAATGTTTTTTCTGCGACCCTTTTATTTTTTATTATTTTAAAAAACAAAACAAAATAACCTAAAAACTTTTTTGACAGCTGAATATCAAACGATGCTGTCAATTTCTTTTCATACAGACCTGTCACTTTTCACACAGAAATGTCACTTTACATTCGTGTTTTGCCTTGCCAATGAAAAGATTCATTTTCTAAGCAACGATGCCATCATGAAAAGTGACTTTTACATAATGGTCGTAGAAAAAAGGTCTTGATATATTGATTTATTTTTTACGACGCAACGTATAGAACTCGCTATTGCGCATAGTAAACAGATTCTTTTTTCATGCTGATCAATTGTTTGTGAAGTTTCGACCATTTAGCATAACAAACGCTTTGACAATTTTCGTCCAAACTTCATTACAAACGAAGTTGGCCAAAATAACTAAGTATACTTAAGTCTTTTCAAGCAGTTTTTGTGCTATCGCGTTGGAAAATGATTGGTCAAACTTGATGAAAATACAATTTATATGTCCAAATAAACCCCAATAAATGTTACGCACAGACGTACAGCAAACTTAGCTAAGAAAAAGTTTCCAAACTATGGTTAATCGGGTAATATCACAAAGGCATCTAATTTAAAAAAAAAAAAATCGAAAAAACACGTTTCTAAGTAGTATTTTAACAAGAAGCATGAGTGCTGGTGGCAACAAAAATCCAAGTCGAAGACGAGGATTTTTGCACCTGCATTAATGCATTTTGTTAAAAAATATTACTTAGCATTGTGTTTTTACGATTTTTTTCACAGGAAAAATTAGATGCCTGAATGTCTATCTTAAGACGGTGAAGAGAGTGGATGTGTAGTTCGAGCGCTCTTAGTGCCGATCCACAATAAAATTCTTAAAGAAACATAAATATTATATACAGTGTAGTCGATTAAAGTGCGGTACGAAACAGTGCTACTATTTTGGGTTACTACACACCTGTACAGGTAAAAGCAGGGTACCTGTTCTCCAAAGGGCTAATAGAAACATTAAATAATTCCTCAAACGTGAACATAGGAGTGAGGTCCGTACGGACACGGAAGTAATAAAGTGACAGGGGACAGGTCAAGGAATCACGTATTTAAAGAAAAAACGAGTCTAACAAAGAGCGGAAGGGATCATCACCTGCAGATTCTGATAATTATTATTGCATGACCTAATACGTAAATCTGTAATAAAAACCTGGCAACAAGTAATCATTACCGAAAACAGCTTGGGAGTGTAATAAAATCAAGTAAGAACGTCACAATATTATATTATTGTATTATATATATTATATAATATACGCATAAACTTACAGCCCAGCCACAAATCAAAGCTTAAAAGATAACGAAATTAAATAAACAGTCTCCTAATAATGTCCTCCAAAAACCACCACTAGCCTTCCTTATCCCGCACTCCTCTAGCCTAAATTGGACGTATGGCCCGACCCGGCTGACAAAAATCCGTGGAGCGGCCTTAACCATAGACACTGTCATCCACGACCTCCTAGGGTGGATCTACCAGCCGGCGTAAAAACTTCGGATCCAACAAACACAGGTAATGCTGTGAATTGGCGGGATACGTAGGAGAACGGAAAGGGGGTAAAATAACCCTGGGAGATTAGTGTAAGATAATGTCGATGGGGCCTGCCATACGTTCCCATACTCATACTCATATATGAGTATACCCAAAAATTAGATGCCCGAATGGTATTTGACAAGACTATTTCATGAGTAACAGTTATTCTGCATACACATAGCTTACAAAACATACTACCTATTATACATGCATATGTACGTAATAAATATGTAAGTATTAATTTGAAAACTGAAAAATAGGTAATTTATTTAATCACTAAATACTAAAAAATTAATTATTTATGGTACAATTAAAATATAAATTGCAATTTTTGTTGACAACAGCTGTCAAGTTTTGCAGCGGGTAAACTAGAAAAAACTGCTAACAGGTGCTGTCATACAGTTTTTCCACCTAGAAAATTTAAATTGCGCGTTTGTGATTGGTGGAAATTAAGACGAGGGAAATAGTCTTCAATACATTTTGTAATGATTGCATTTTGAATATTCTTTTCATTGTTTGACTGAAAAAAATTCCGGAATTCTTTCTAACTCATTTCTAGCATCACGGGCCTCTTTGAATACAATTTCGGAAAATGGATTAATTTTAATTAATTTAAATCTTAATAGTATTTCTCTTAAAGCATATATGTGGAACTCAACGGCAAAAATGCTTTAAGAGAAATACTATTAAGATTTAAATTAATTAAAATTAATCCATTTTCCGAAATTGTATTCAAAGAGGCCCGAGATGCTAGAAATGCAAAAAGAAAGGAGTTAGAAAGAATTCCGGAATTTTTTTGCTGTTGTCAACAAAAATTGCAATTTATATTTTAATTGTACCATAAATAATTAATTTTTTAGTATTTAGTGATTAAATAAATTACGTATTTTTCAGTTTTCAAATTATTACTTACATATTTATTACGTACATATGCATGTATAATAGGTAGTATGTTTTGTAAGCTATGTGTATGCAGAATAACTGTTACTCATGAAATAGTCTTGTCAAATACCATTCGGGCATCTAATTTTTGGGTATACTCATATATGAGTATGAGTATGGGAACGTATGGCAGGCCCCATCGACATTATCTTACACTAATCTCCCAGGGTTATTTTACCCCCTTTCCGTTCTCCTACGTATCCCGCCAATTCACAGCATTACCTGTGTTTGTTGGATCCGAAGTTTTTACGCCGGCTGGTAGATCCACCCTAGGAGGTCGTGGATGACAGTGTCTATGGTTAAGGCCGCTCCACGGATTTTTGTCAGCCGGGTCGGGCCATACGTCCAATTTAGGCTAGAGGAGTGCGGGATAAGGAAGGCTAGTGGTGGTTTTTGGAGGACATTATTAGGAGACTGTTTATTTAATTTCGTTATCTTTTTAGCTTTGATTTGTGGCTGGGCTGTAAGTTTATGCGTATATTATATAATATATATAATACAATAATATAATATTGTGACGTTCTTACTTGATTTTATTACACTCCCAAGCTGTTTTCGGTAATGATTACTTGTTGCCAGGTTTTTATTACAGATTTACGTATTAGGTCATGCAA